GTGAAACCCCGTCTCTACTAAAAACGCAAAATTAGCTTGGCATGGTGGCATGCGCCTGTAATCCCAGCTACTGGGGAGGCTGAGGCAAAAGAATCGCTTGAACCTGGGAGGCGGAGGCTGCAGTGAGCCAAGATCGCGCCATTGCAATCCTGCCTGGGCAATAAGAGCAAGACTCCATCTCAAACAACAAAAAAGATCTAAAACATTCATCATCTATTCTTTTGAGGGTTGCCACCTGTGGAGCTTCATTTATGTAACAAGACCACCTTTGCTAGCCAGGCTTCCTCTTCTCCCGCTCCCGGAAACTGTTATGCCACTGATCCGAGCCCACTCTTTCTGTAACCTTAAGGTGGTATTTAAGCTTCTAAACCCTATTGTGTAGGGGTTTGGGGGGATAATCACTCTGTGGCTCTCCCCTTCATGCAAGCTAATATATTGGTATGCCTTTTCTCCAATTAATCTGCCTTTTCTCAGTTGATTTTTCAGAGTGAACCTTCAGAGGGCAAAGGGGAAGTTTCCCTTTGGCCCCTACAGGAACCTAAGACCCACAGAGTGATGGAAAAAGGAAAGGCTTTGGAGCCAGGCAGGTCCAAGTTTGAATCCCAGCTGTACTGCTTATTCACTGAACAACCTTGGGCAAGTCACAGTTATCCTACTTAAAAACAGGATAACGTTAACTTCACAAAGTTGTTTCAAGGATTAGCATTAATGTAGAAAATCAACTCATCAGGCCCTGAAAAAATGGTGGCTATCAGTATCAATGATCACATCCCGTTCCAGTTATGGACATAACTTTAAGACTGCTGCTAAATCCCAGGGAATGTGTTCTGCAGGAGCAAGCGGTTTTGGCCTCAAGTCCATATATTTTTGCCTCATGTTTCCCATTGTGTTTTGCCATTTGAACACATTTTCAGCACGTCTAGTGATTCACCTATAAACGTCTTCTTTAGGTGTACCTCAGCCTGCATATACTGCGCATTCTGAAACTCACGAGAACATTATCCTTGCTCCTCACATTGATTTTGGTCTTGTCTTCCACCTTTGAAAAGGAGAGTTATGGTATAATACAATATTAAAGTTTTAAAGTACTAACTTTATACACAGCACTGCCCTCTAGTGACTAGAATAATCCATTTTTTTTCCTTTTTTTTTTTTTTTTGAGACTGAGTCTCACTCCATCACCCAGGATAAAGAGCAGTGGCACGATCTGGGATCAGTGCAACCTCCGCCTCCCAGTTCAAGTGATTCTCCTGCCTCAGTCTCCGAGTAGCTGGGATTACAGGCATGCACCACCACGCCCAGGTAATTTTTCTGTATTCTTAGTAGAGATGGGGTTTCATCACGATGGCCAGGATGGTCTCAATCACTTGACCTTGACCTCGTGATCCGCCCGTCTCAGCCTCCCAAAGTGCTGAGATTACAGGCGTGAACCACCACACCTGGCCTAGAATAATTATTTCTAGTCATCTGTTCAGCTGCTCTCTGGGTAAAAATTAAAAATTCTGTCATAGATTGTTTTGAATGTATTGGCTGACATAAGATACATGGAAATCATAACTACAATGAGATACCACCTCATGCCTAATAGTAATTTGAAGAACAATTTGACAATTCTTTATATTAAAGTTACACGATCCAGCAATTCCACTCGTGGAATTTAAAACCTGTGCACATAAAAACCTCTTCTATAATGTTCCTATTAAACAGTCAAAAAGCAAAAATAATCCAAATATCAACTGATGGATGGGTAAATACAATGGAATATTATTCAGCCATAAAATAAAACGTACTGATACATGCTGTAAAATGGATGAACCCTGAAAACATGCTATATCGAAGAAGCCAGTTCCAAAGGACCATATATTGTATGAACTTATATGAAATGTCCAGAACAGGGAAATCCATAGACACAGAAAGTAGACTGGTGACTCTCTAGGACTGGAGGAGATAAATGGATTGACTGCTAATGGGGGTTTCTTTTGGGGGATGAAAATTGCTAAAAAAAAATTGATTTGGTGATGGTTGTACAACTGTGTGGATATTCTGAAAACCACTGAAATGTACACTTTAAAAAGGTGAATTTTATGGTATGTGAATTACATCTCAATGTTATTAAAAAATGGAAACAAAAGTGTTGGCTGTGTTGGGATGGCCATTTAGTACTAACATGTTAGGTACATCTTCCCTTCAATATAACCTCCCTGGCCCCCAGCCCCCAGTCTTAAGAATCTGGCCTCCATAATCTTCTTAGTATTTTTTTATTTCTTACAATTTTTTTTTTACTATAAGCATGTATTATTCATGAGAGGTAGATCCAAATTTTCAAGGAATAATCTGAACTTTTAAAAGAGGAACTGTACTTAAGAACACTAACAGAGGTTGGTTGACACCCTGAAAGACTGGTCTGTTATGTTTAACTGTGGGCCAGTCAGCTTCAAACTCAGGAAAACCTCTCACCTCAGTTGCAGGGGAAATGGGCAACAGTAATTAGAAGCTACTGCTGAGAGGCTGGGCCCTGTGCTTAACTCCATCTATCATCTCCACCAACTATCCCATGTGGCATGTGTTACCACTATTTTATAGATCAGAGTTTACATAACTGAGACCAAGGATGCACATACACCTCTCCCCTGAAACGCAAGTCTCACTGAAGGTAGACCCAAGATGCCACCTTGTGACTCAGATACTTAAGAACAGGGCCTAAAAATATTCATTGATAAAAGGTAGGTGTTCAAAGATGACCCAACTTCTATTTTCACCTTCAATAATTGTTACAGTTAAAATTCAGTGAGAAGCTGCTTCTACAAAGATATAGGTAGGGTTCTGTTATCCAAATGCAAATCTATCTAGGTCTGAATTCCTAAAAGTACAATCTTTTTTTTTCTTCTGAGGTGGAGTTTTGCTCTGTCACCCAGGATGAGTACAATGGTATGATTTTGGCTCACTGCAACTGTTCAAGCGATTCTCCTGCTTCAGCCTCCCAAGTAGCTGGGATTACAGGTGCCCGCCACCACACCCAGTTTGTTTTTGTATTTTTAGTACAGATGGGGTTTTACATGTTGGCCAGGCTGGTCTTGAACTCATGACCTCAAGTGATTCGCCTGCCTTGACTTCCCAAAATGCCGGGATTACAGGCGTAAGCCGCCATGCCTGATTTAAAAGTAGAGTCTTCAAATAACCTTCCCAAT